GGAGGGCCAGCCACGAGGGGCACTTCTGTGTAAATGGTTTGGGTATATTGTCTAAAGATATGTCAGAAGAAGCCTTTCCTCTGAGGTTCCAGCAATCTGTTGTGAATTGTTTCTCAGTATAAATACTTTTTTCTAATTTTGTCTTTGTAATGTTGCATTCTTTTTCTTAAAAGGAGTTGCCAAATTGTATGATCGTTCTCAATCCTGTTTTTCCCTAGAATACTTGAATGAAAGCACCCTCTGAAGTCCAGGTGGTCTGTTTTTGCTAATAAAACTGCTGTGCTTTTTCCTAAACAGTTCTGTCTCTCTGAGGAGGTTGGTAGGAGCAAAGGGGCAGAGACAGCACATTCTGGACAGAGGGAACAGTGAGTGAGATAACTCAGGCAGAAAAAAGCTGCTTCATGTCAATCAATGGAGGCCAGCATAGCAGTGGTCCCCTGAGTAAAGAGGGAGTGATGTCAGATGAGGTAGGGGCTACCATAAGTCATGGAAAAGAACTTGGACTTTATCCCTGGATACTATATCCACTAAAGCTGCATAGTGGTTAAGCAATGGGCAGAGTTCAGAGCAATGACACTGGCACCTATGGAGACTGAAAAGTGGTGGGACAAGAGTGGAAGCAGGGAGATAAATTATGCTGGCCCTGCTGTCTGGTAAGAAAGGTGGAGGCCTGTACTAGAGTGAGAGCTGTTAAGGTGAGGCACAGTTAGAGTGATGCATATGCCCATAGACCTTGCAGGATGAGGCTGGACCTGGTGGAAATAAAGAAAAGAATCAAGGATGATTTCCCAGTCTAAGCAACTGTATAGACAGGTGCCACTGGTTGAGAGGAAGAAGACTGGTAGGCAACAGTCTGATGAATATTGAGGCAGATGCCTGGCAGTGTCAGGTAGGTCTCTGGATCCAGAGTTTGCAGGTGAGGTTAGCAATGGAAATTCAACTTTAGGAATCATGAGCATATAGTGGAATCTCTTCAAAACTGTGGGAATGGATGGGAACACACAAGAGGAGAGCAGAGAAAGAACAGAGAGGAGAGAGAGCTGCACCCATGGAGAACTCCAATACTCAATGATCATGCAGAGGAGTATGAATATGTCAGAGAGAAGGAGCAGCCAGAGGAGGGAAACTAGGCTCAGGTAGGAAACCAGGGTCAGGTAGACCTGCAGAGGCCAGGTTGGCCTGTGGAAGCCAAGGTCGGTAAGTCTGAGGAAGCAAGGATTGGGTAAACTTGTGAAAGCCAAAAAGGATAATGTTTCAAGAAGGCAGGAATGGTTAGCACACTCAGGGGCCACTGAGACACTGCACAGGATAAGGACAGAAAAGTGACCTTTGAGTTTGGCAACAGAGCTCAGTGGGCACCGGGCTAGATAAAAGGAGTCTCAGCATGCTGATAGAACAGGAACTCAGACTGCAGTGAGTCAATGAAAAATGGAATATAAACACAACACAACAGAAACAGATCTGTAATCATTGTAGAAATTAAACCAGCAGTTAAAAATCACTCCCTCGATAAACAAAAAACTCCCGGTTTTTGCTAAGTTCTATGGGATCTTCAGGATGCCAAGGGTTCTTATCTCATATGATCTGCTCCAGAACAGCAAAGAAGGGAAAGATCCTCCATTTATCCTGTGAGGCTGACACAGCCTCGTGAGGTTGGTCACATTACAACCCATACCAGGTAAGGATTTTAAGCAAAAGAAAAACTGTAGGACAATGTCATTTCAGTTGACAGACATAGATATTCAAAAAATATTAGCAAACAAATCCACTATTGTAAGAAAAATAATACATTACGACAAAGTAGAGGCAAAGATGGCTCAACTTTAGAAAATGCATTCACATCAATACATTAGCATGTTAAAGAAGAAAAAATCACAGTGTTCTCAACAGATTCAGAATAAGCATTTGGCAATATTAAAAATACATATATTCATGACTTAAAAACACGTTGGCAAGCTGGGGACAGAAGGAAGTTCTAGCTACTGGACCTGCAATAATGTGACCCTTTGCGGGGGAAACTTTTCTCTTGCAAATCAGGAGCAGGGTAAGGACATCCACACTCACTGCTTCTACTTCAAATAAAATGTAAGACAAGGAAAACAGCAAAAGCTGGAAAAGTAGAAAGAAATAACACCTTTGTTCACTGAAATTATTACTGTGCACAGAAAATCTCAGAGGCACTAAGACAAACTACTGGAATGAATGCTAATGAGGATGCTGGATATACTCTCCAAGTGAAAAAAACAAACAAAAAACAACCCAGTGGTATTTCTGTATACCAGCCACAAAAAGGTGAATACTGCGATAAGCTGATAACAGCAACCAAGATGTAAGCTGCCTGGGACTAAGTATCTAGTAAAAGACGCATCAGTCCATTGTGAAGAAAATTGTAAAACTTCACTGAGGTGTGTTATAAAAAAGAAAGAAAACAAAGGACTAGACACCATGCTCATAGTCAGGAAGACTCAAAAAGCAGTCAAATCACTCAAGCAAGATTTATTCTTTGTGGTTACTAGGGTTTGAACTCAGGGCCTCGTGCTTGCTAGTCAGTATTCTACCATTTGAGCCAGGCCTGGCACCTTTTTGCTTTAATTATTTTTCAGGTAGGGACTTGCATTTTTGCCTATGGCTGGCCTTGGACCAAGAGTCTCTTACTTATGCCTCTTGCATAGTTGGGATTATAGATGTATACCATCACACTGGCTTGCTAATTGAGATGGGGTTTTGCTAACCTTTTTGCCCAGGATGGCCTTGAATTTCAGTCCTCCATATCTCTGCCTCCTGAGTAGGCTGGCTTGCAGGTGTGAGCCACCATGCCTAATCTTCAATCAAGGTTCTTAAGCAAAGGCAAGTGTTTTGAAGGACAACTTAGTAGGACTTTCTCCTTGCCAGTTATCAAGAAACCTGGGACTATCTTCCTCTTCCCAGACCCATGAAGGGTCTGGCTTAGGAGAACAACTCCTGGTTCTCTGCATCCTCTCACTTGCTCTCTCTCTCACTGGAGGAAGACTTTTCTGTTGGTGATTTAGGGGCCCAACAAAATCAGAGTAACCTTGGCCTAGCGCTCCCCAGGCTTCTGCCGAGGAGCTGGCAGACTGCTCTCTGCAGTATGTCAAGGCCGCTCTTCTGGAGAGCCACCACTCTCCAGCTCACATAGTGACGGCAAGGCTAAGTTCAATTTTGAGTGATGTCTTGGCAAGTCCCTTTTATTACAGATCTAAAGCCACATTTTCCTAGCAGCTTTATCAGTAATAAAACTGACATTTTGATTATATTAGTCTGTCTCTTGTATCCTCTCTCTAAAATGGTTCCAAATGTCAGGGGAGAAGAGGGATGCTATTTATTGGGCATCCTCAGACCTCAACGAGACTTACTGAAATTACATCTTATAATAATTAAGAATGTGGTTCTACCCACAATAGACAAATAAAACACTGGAGCAGAACAAGGAGCCTGGGAACCGACCACTGTATGTAAGGGAACTTAGAGCATGAGAGAAGTGGTGTTATCAATCAGTGGAGAAAAGATAGCCCCTTCAACAAATGACAGAGGGACAACCTCCTGTCAGTACCAAGCAAGGTTCATCTAGTGACCAGTCAGGTGGTGCTGTGGATTGCCTCTTTTCTCACTATTTTAGGTTATTTGCCATTTGTGTTAGAAAACTTACAGGATTTTATGCCTTGTTTCCAATTAGATCACAACTTCCTTGAGGGCAGGGCTGGAGCCTGACACTTCTCATCACCCTGCAGATGCTTGGCTCAGAGCTGTACACAGGTTGCTCTGTGGGCTCACCTTTATGAGTAACATTGTTTTACACTAAATCTTGATTCCTTTCCTCATTCCTAGAGATGTCTAGTTCCCTAGCAATACCAAGTTTTGCTAATTATTTTGATATTCTGAATAGAATCCTTTAAATAACCGTGTATTTACTTAACAGGAGTTTTACCTAAAGCCAGATATCTGAAAGCTGTCATTCTGAGCATCATCTGGGACAAAAATGAAAATTGTCAAAGATCCGCCATCGATGCCATTTTCTTGCTATCCTAAGGCTACCCTTATGGCAGAGAAGGAAACAAAGCCCGTATCTTACCTCCTCCTCACAAACATCTGCTCCATCTAGCATCACCTTTCATCCTCACAACGAACTGCTGAGATGGGCCAGGCAGGGATCACATGCAAGGAAATCCAGTTTCAGAGAGACAGGCCTTTCAAACCACCCCAAGCCCAGCTGCTCCCAGCCACAACATTTCCTGTCACTGCCCATCACCCAAGGACTCAAACCTCAGGTATTGCTGAAGGGCTGGAGCACACAGCTTGCCATTTGTCCTGCGAGTCAGTCTAATGCCTGCTTGCTAACAGATGTTTCCTTTCCCCTTCTCTTTTTAAGAGGTCAAGTCTAAGGGATGGAGGTGCGGCTCAAGTGGTAGAGTGCTTGCCTGGTAAGTGCAAAGCCCTGAGTTCAAATTCTAGTACCACAAAAAAAAAAGGTCAAGTCTGTCCTGACAAATCACTTTAAGGAGCAGCTTGCCCTCATAGAACACAGACACTGACACCAACTTAGACGAGAGCTGGGTCCTGATGAGAGCTACTTCTCACTGGTTTTCCCTTGACTCTCAGCCATAGATCCTGACAAGCATTTAGAGGCCGTGTTCTTCACTTGTTCCTTGGAAAAGCCTGAAAGGCCTATGCTTCCCTTCCATAAAATGGACTGTCCTCCAGGCTCTGTCTCAGCAATGCACTCACAGATCCCTTGGCAAGTCCGCAGCGTCCTCACAACCCCACCTCCCCAACCATCCTCTCCCTCAGAGGGTGCTCTACCTCATTAGCCAGAATGGAGTTTAGAGCCACCCAAGTAGGATGTCTTTCTTTGCTTTTCTTCAGAAATTTCGCTGTAGAAGGAAACTCAGAAGGCAGGTGAGGAGGAACATGGAAGCCAGGAAAGGTTTTCAGGTTCACTGCCCACATTACAGCTTCTGGCAGTCAGAGATAAAAATACTTACCACCTGACCATCAGCCATGCTCCATGAAGTTTTTCAGGTTGGGAAGGGTTTGCCTCAAGTCTGGAGTCCCTAATCCATGTTGATATCGTAGCTGCAAAGAAGAGAATTAAAAGGCATTTTGGCAGATTCTAGGCAATGCTTCAGAAAAAATAAACTACTCAAGTAATTTTTTAAACTTTAAAAGAGGAAGTGTAAATATAGGATCTCTGTATCAAGCACACTGCTATGTGGGACAGCATTTAATTGTTCTCAAGTTGCTTCCTTGTGTGCAACCTGGAGAAGACTCACAGTGGCTCACTGTTGGAGCACATATTCAGTCTTCTTTTCGACTCCCAAGCCTCAGTAGGTTTGCTAATGCGAACACAATCATGTATCTCACAGAATCAGTATTTTGTTATAGATGTTGGGGGCTTCCCTTGCTTGCCTGGCCCTTCCCTTTGTATAAACTCAGCTCTGATTCAAGTGTCCACACAGTGCGGGTACATAGTCAATGCTCAGTAAACAAACAGTAAGTCACTCTGGAGGGGAGCTGTGCTCTGCACTTCTCAACTCTCTAGTTCCCCTTTGTGCCAAGGCACAGAGCTGGCAGCTGGCAGGAGGAAACTACCAGCTTGGTGAGATCTGCCCTGCCTTGGGCTATTTCTGCCAAAGGCAATTTAAAAAAATGAAGTATCCTCCTGTGCACCTTGGATACCTTGCTAACTGGTATACGCTTACCTTGTTTCATTGTGTCTGACTACCACCATTGCCTCCATAACTGGCCAGAAGGGATGTACACATTCATAAGTCTGCTCATCTACATCTCAGGCGCACAGAAAGCGAACAACACACCCTTGCAAAAATGCGCTTTTCAAATGACATTCTATCCATGAGGAAAGTTGATAAACTTTAGGAAGTACATGTGCACAAACGTGAAGGGGTTTCACTTTTCAGCACTTAAATTTATGGGTGGCAGCATAAAACTCTTTAATATTTTCATCTCTTAAAAATTAAAACCTACCAATAAGGGAAGTGCTTCTTCTACTTGTGTCTAGTATTCAGCTGATTTTTATCTGTGAGTGAGTGATACTTAACACAGAAAGAGTTCACTCTCTCTGATACTGAGCTCCAAACACAACTGGAGATCTGGAATGGCTGAAAGGAACACACACATAAGGTAAAGAGGCAGAAACACTCTGCTAAAACTAAATATTCTGTAAGCCAGAACTTTCCTCTGCAGATGGAGAAACTGAAGTCCACAAAGGGAAGTAAATTCTCCAGTGCCACAGGTTCAATGGCACAGATATAATTAGTCAGGGCCTTCTTTTCACAAACCACGTCACTTCAACCCCAAAGTCTGAGGAAAAAAATTGGCAACAGTACTTGAGAAAGCCGGAAAAATATTCTTTTCTTTTTTCAAGCCTAGCTTGGTGACCTAAATCACCTCCTCAGATTTGTTAACCTTGAATTATAAGATCTACTCCATATTAAATGACATCATTTCTTTTATTAATATAAAAGCATTTTTCCATACATTGATAAAAGCAAAATGGCTGATATTCCAATATGACATTCTTGAATTCATTGTTTCAATAAAAAAGTGAAATTGTTTACACATGGCATGAAAATTTCACCTGTGATTCATACTGAAAAATATTAAATATCAAAAAAGCCCATACTGAAACAATACCAAGCTGTGTGTCTCGGAGCCACTACACAGTCAACTGCCTGCCCCCAGGCTCCACAATGGAAGGTGGGGGTAGAATTCTTTTTCAGAGACCACAGAGAAATTTCTCTCCAAGTCTGATTTCAACCAAAAAAGGGAAATGTGGGAACTTTTAGCTTCCACCCAGGTCTTAACTCTGTAATTGCTGTGTAGCACTGTGTTTTAGTGATGGATTTAGGATTTTATAGCTGAGGAGATCCTGGAGAGCATCTTTCCAACATCTGTCCTTCCACAGATGAAGAGATGAAGGCTCAAGAAGGCACAGCTCTGCTCAGAGTCACAGAGCTGACACTTTCTACTGACATAGAGAGTTAAAAGGGAAATGCTCACATTACATATAAGTTTAATTTTTATTAATAAGCTACATGCATTGTTTAGGAAGTCTAAACCACTAGAACAGTTATAATGGAAAAATAGCAGTTCTTGCTGTTGAGTGGCAATGACTTCTAGCTACTTCATCTCTACCTTCATTTTTTAAAATAACACACTCATATCAGCATTTCTTACCCTCTCCACGTTAGTCATCATCCATTGTGTTTCTTCCTTAGACGGTGAGAATTTAGCTGTTTTACACTCTGTCACACAAACATTTTATCCCCTCTTCCACACATTAATTAAAGAATATGAGAATTTTCTTTTCTTTTCTTTGGGGTTTGAACTCAGGGTCTCATGCTTGCTAGGCAGACGCTCTACTACTCAAGCCATACTGCCATTCCATTTTGCTTTACTTATTTTCAGAAAGAGTCTCACATTTTTTGACCAGGCTGGCCTGGAGCACAATCTTCCTACATGCATGCGTCATCATGCCTATCTTTTTTTTTTTTTTTTTGAATATAGAACTATTTATTGACCTCTGTTCACCATTATTTACAATAAAGTAAACAATATACAGTTGGATAACATTCTGATTACTACAAAGTTGTTTTCCTGGCTTCTGCAGAACCAGTAACCCAAATACTGCAAAGATTGAGCCTACACATCATGCCTATCTTATTGATTGAGATGGGGTCTTGCTAACATTTTGCCTGGACTGGCCTCAACAGGGACCCTTCCTGATCTCAACCTTCCAAGACTATGAGAATTTGATTCTCTACCCTTCTTCTCATCCTCTACTACATTCAATATCACATTTTTTTGTTAAATCAATATTTAGTGCTTACCTCATTACAACTACATAAATACTGTTCAGTGCGAAGCCATATAGCATACTATTCTTTTCTTGTACTTTTGTTTTCCTGGACGTGATAGCTATCATTTTTTTTCACTTGTTGAATTTTTTTTCTAACATACTTGTCACTGGTACTCACTAAACTGACAAAAACTTAAAACTCTTTCTGTCTGATAAAATCTACCATATAATTTATCAAGTCCATTTCTCTCTTTGAGATATATTTCCTGAGGCCTGAGTGATTTCACTTCTCAAGTATCACTTTCATCATTTATGAAATGGGGATGTTACTTGACTTGCAGGGCTGAATAAGATAAAGTATATAAAATGCCAAACAATATTTGGCACATAGCAAGGCTCAGCGTCCAGTCTGCACTCTCATCATTACTGCACATGCACTCGCTCTGTAGTATCATCATTACAGCATCTACACTAGTGCTCAATCATGGCTTCTTACTTAACTAATTAGAGTAGGAATCAGAAAAGGAGGAAGAAATGAGTTACTTTAAACCAAAGAGCAAAATCTTAAGTATACTGTTCATTTCTTTAAATGCTAATTTTTACAAAGCCTCTGACCGAAAAGGCAATGATAAACACATGTCAGTATCTTCAAAATAATTACACAGGGAAATGGAAAGACTGACCATAACGTGGGTGGTCAGGACCTGGGTGACAGACCAACTCCACTGCACGACCATATGTGCAAATTCTTTCCTTGACTGGACTGCACAAACATTTTCGAACTTTTTAAAAGTTTAACTTCTTAAGAAGTTACCCTGTAAGGTATTATCAAAAATAGAAAGACCAAGGAGAAAAAGACAAGGACATGGAAGAGGGAGGAAGAACTAGGTTTACTAAGCTTCTACCTGCTGTGGTCATTCACTCAACAAATATTCAGTGTCCACTGGGTGAGGCAGTGGAGTTGGCTCTGTATCTCTGGAGTCACAGGCCTGGACTGAGCCTTTACCACATAGTACCTTGAACAAGTTATATAACCAATCGGTGCCTTTCTATAAAACAGGACCAACAGTGTTTGTCCCATAAGACTGTTGTGGAGCCTGATCATGATTTTTATAGGCGATGGCAGTTCCTGCACCTGACTTTTTTAGAGGGTGGTCATTACAGCTGTTGGGGGTTTAGGAATCATTTTGTCATTTAGGTTTTAGTTAAGCTGAAGAGTTCCACTTTATCTTGCTGGTCACCAATCAGACCAATTCCAGGGCCTTCAGCAGGCAAGGGAAAGAGGAAAACTCCAGAGGCAGCTGTGACAGACAGTTTAGAAGATGCGAGTTGTCTTTTTTATAAGACAACTTTGATGGCATTGATCAAAACCCATCCTGGCCAACTACTATCAAAGAACACACTTCCCCAAACTGGGCTCCTTCTGATTGAGGAGTAAATGCCAAGACACCCAGACAAATAAAATATTGCTTTGGGTCTAACTGCCTCAAATTAGTCTCTGAAATAAACACCTTTTGTAACAACTTCCTACTGCACCACCACCCAGAGTTCAAGCAGTTTTTAAGTGGAATTTTGGTTTCAATTAGCTTGAATTTCAGCTTTTCTCTGATTGGTATGGGACACTATGGAAGCAATTAAAGTTTTGTTCAATTCCATGGCTGGTAGGCAAGTGGGGCGAAAATGACATGTAGATAATAAAGTTAGATGGGAAGTGGGGAGAACAACATGTGGCATTGTCTACTAGCAAAAGAGAGTCCCTACACTAAACAGCCAGGAGGATCTACTTTCTGGTTACTTGGAATAAGCACAAAGAAAGGGCACATTCACTGCAATAGACAACTACACCATGTCAATTACATTAGCTATCTTCTTTGTTTTCCTCTCCCATACTCCTTTTTATAGGAAAAATAACAGTATTCTTCCAAAGCCACATGCATGCTTGTTTGACCCCAAATCACTATACATTCATTGTGAGTTTCACTGAAGAAGACAGAGCAACTCTGATGTTAGATCTCTTATGGCTATGAATTAACTAGTTCATACAGATGGTTAATGCCTTTCCATTTATTAGGTAAGACCATTTGTAGCCCTGCAGACCGTACTGAGAAATAAAGCATGATCATACTTCTGAGGAATAAATGCTGAGTTCTTGTACTCAGTGAGCAACCTTCTAGTGAGTTGAGAAGTCTAATTTAATATCAAAGTATTCAATTCTACTTTATTTTTAAACACACAATTTTTCCAGGTTAGGAAA